TTAACATTTATTTCAGTACTTGAAATAAATGTACTAAGTGGTAGGGGGCCCTTCTCCTGCGTCAACTTTTCCCCTAACGGAAGCTGACTTTGCTCGTGGGTGTACATTCACCATATTTAACGATATTTACTAAATTTTTCTAGGTTATATCTCCGAATTTCTTTTTCGCGAATTTATCAACTGCCCTGTTCACCTCGAAAATGTTAAAAAAAAGTGGTAGGAGGCCTTTCTGTTACGCCACTATTTTCCCTAGTGGAAACAGAGTTTGCTCGTAGGTGTATACTAACATACCCTCGCGAGCAAACTCGGCTTCCGCTAGGGGAAAAAGTTGACATAAGAGAAGGGCCTCCTACCATGCTCCTGTCTGTTGGTATTTGGAATTACTGAAATTTATGCCAAACTAATATTCGATTTAACATTAATTTCAATCCCTGGAATAAATTTACTACGCCGCTTTTTCTCCTAGTGGAAAAAGTAACGTAAAAGTAAGGCCTCCTATAACTTGGTAAATTTATTTCAAGTACGAAAATATATGCTAAATCGAACGTTAATTTGGCATAAATATCAATGCCACTTTTTCTCCTAGCAGAAGCCGAGTTTGCTCGTGGGTGTGCAATTGTTCGCGAAACAAGTGAAAATAGAGTCTGAGGTTGAATTAGTCGTGGAAGACTTACGGTGCAGCATCGGTCGACGGAATCGACGACACGATAAGACCGACGACCACCAGAAACACGCAGAACAATACGATCCTTTGCTGCATCGTCGGCGTCGTAACTTTTCGATCTGAAAACGAGAGAACACTTATGTAGACATACAAAAGAAAGCGGGAATAGTCGAGAAAGATTGCATCGGCCCTCCTTCTTGTTTCGGATAGCCAAGAAGAGATTGTCGTTTTCGAGTAAAGCGACTAACAAACTATTCAGACCACGGTTTAGATTCAGCAGGAGTTCGTCGTACGCTTCGGATTACCGGCGCGAAGCTTTACAAATCTAATATACATATATCATCACCGTCGATGTTCCTTGAATTAGTATTTTATTGGACGGCAATCACGAGCCGCTTTTGAGCGTGACGATTCGCCGTAACGCGGGATAATTGGATTCGTCGCTTTCGATAATTGACGTTGACGATACTATTTCACGCCTGTGTGTACTTGATTTCGCTGGAAGGACGACGATAACGAGGTGGTCGATACCACGTTGACCGTTTTCCTGTATCTGCTAAAAAAAAAACAAAAAGAAACAAAGAAACACGTCGACTCGTTAGTCTCGCGATCGTTCCCAGCGTGCACACGTGGAAATCGATTATGACGCTCGTTTGTTAATGGGGACTGACGCGCGGTTTTCCGAAGAAAATGCGTTTTACTCTCGGCTGTGTGTTCACGGTTTCGTAACGAGAATTACCAACTGTATCAGCGTGTTTCTTTTTCCGACCATTTATGCACCGGCATTCATCGCTGTTCGCGTTCCCCCTTTTCCGTTCTCCGTTTGCTGTTTCGCCGCGGCGTTCAGTCTTCCGTTTTCCGCTTCCGACTTCCCGCTTTCCGTTCCAATTTTCCTGTTATTTCCCTCTCTCCATCTGTTATCACCGGGTTAACTGTTTTATTTTCGTGTTCACGATCGTCTCGACGGATTCTTAGACCACGTACATATGCACAGGAGAAACACGACGAATTTGTTTAAGATTGTTCATACCTGATTCTCTAGTTAATGAAGCATAATATTACTAATTGATATTAAACACCCAATAATACGTTTTACAGCGTATAAAAATTATATCTATGAATTTTAACGACATTTCCAGTGATCATTCTTCATTATATTTTAAATGAAAAATATATTTTGGTTAATCGCGTTCAGTTTTCCAGCGTGTAGTCAATATTTAATATTCTTCTATGCAAAGTTAATTATATTCTCGTGTATTATAGTTTAGAAAATTAGAATTCACTAAAGCACGAAATAGGTAAGACACTTTTTCAATTTATTTGAATTTCGCGGGTATGACCCTACTTCAGCAATGTTGCCAAGTTCTCAACATAGTTCCAATAAACATCCACCTACCGACACATTCTGGACATTATTGTCAAACATCTTCCTGGAATGTTTGGCATGGTACAAGATTGTTATTGATTATCAGAAAGCTCAGGATTTATACTTTCAGTACCTAGTTTTTGGTTAACAGTTCTAGTTTCTGTGAAAAAAACAGATTATACTTCCGGTAAGAAATCGTAAGACTGCCACAAAAGCTGTGTTAAAAACTGAACTTTTGACAAGCTTTTTCTTATTCATTTCATCGATGACCTAGCCTCAAATTTTTCGAATATCTGTATTTCGTTATAGTAAACAATCTGTAGGAATTTTATTTAATTATCTAGTCTTTCGAGTTTGTCCCGAACCATCTTAATACTTCCATTCTGACATAGATAATTTTACTTTCATATTTTATATTCATACTTATACAAAATACCAACTGCTGTTTTAGGGAAGAACATAAAAAATTGTGAAAGGAAATTTAGAAATGGGTACACCTGGTTGCCTACACAAGGGGTAAGAAGTAATCGGTATAGCCAATAATGGCAATTAGTACAACGGTAGAGAAATGGTCCAGCTAACTCGATTCGACTTCCATTCCAAGATTAGTTAAACATAGATAATTTTGCTTTCATACTTTTCCCTTCCAATAAAATACCAAGTGCTGTTTTAGGGAAGACCATAAAAAATTGTGAAAGGAAATTTAGAAATGGGTACACTTGGTTGCCTACACAAGGGGTAAGAAGTAATCGGTATAGCCAATAATGGCAATTAGTACAACGGTAGAGAAATGGTCCAGCTAACTCGATTCGACTTCCATTCCGACAAGATTAGATAAACATAGATAATTTTGCTTTCATACTTTTCCCTTCCAATAAAATACCAAGTGCTGTTTTAGGGAAGACCATAAAAAATTGTGAAAGGAAATTTAGAAATGGGTATACCCGGTTGCCTAGACAAGGGATAAGCGTGCATGGACGGGCGTGAAATTCGAACTGCGATGCAACAGCTGGGTCGTTCGTTGGACTCGTATATGTTCCTTCGAAGACGAGGAGCAGTTGCGTGATTCTCGTTGAAATTTTTCGAAACGCATCCTATCGCCTAACCCAGACGAGATTGGTTGTACACGGTTGGATGGACGCGAACCAGTGAAATGCATTCGCGTGAATAGAGGACACGAACAAGACGAAGAACGAAGGAAAAGTTTCGAAGCACGCGTAACGTTAGCTTCCTTCCTTCAAGGACCACTTGGATCTCTCGAAAGTTTCGGTATAAAGTTCCCATCGACGACACGATAGCACTTTTCGAACGACAGCCGAATCGAACGTCGAACTGCATTGAAACGACGACGTGAAGGTGCACTTCCGGTTTACGTATTTCTGTGCGATGAAACCGAATCGAGGAACATACGGTCTCCTCGAGAAACAAGGCGATATTTGATCGAGTTTACGGAAATGGTTTTTCTAGCTATTAAGGGAAAGGTTTCTAAAAGGATCCCTCGGGATCATTTTATACAAATACATTACAAAATGATCCTTAAATATGCCTTCAAAGAAACGTGAATAAAAAATATAATCGATCAGGTAGCTAAATTTTATTTAAACCAATGATAAGATAGATAGACTAACTTACAAAAACTACTTTACTTTTATTTAATTACTGAGCATTTGTATTTTTTATATAAATTATGCCTTAACTCTTTGAGCCACACGATTTTAAAGAAAATAAAAACTCTAGTTGCACAGAATTTCGTTTAATATAAAAAGAATTATATAAAAATAAAATATTTAACTGTATGATTATGAGTAACCTCAACTTTTCGAGGTGGGTTAAAATATATCCCACCATGCATAAAAAGCTAAGCAAAAGGTGGGACAGTTTTTAACCCACCTAACCCTAAAGAGTTAAAGGGATCGTTTTAGACACCTTTCCCCTACATACGTAAGTAGGAATTTCCTTTTCCCTCCGATCGAAGAGATAAAACTCGAGTCCTCGCCGTTTACTTTGCGACAAAGAGAGAGAAAGGTTCTCGCGATATACTGTTTTTTTGTCGCGCAAACAATGAATTAGGGGCGAGTCGCGAAGGTAAACCACTCGTCGTCGTCTCGATACGTTCGCTCCTCGACTACAGGAGAAACGCGTCAGCCACGGTGGGGTTGAGAGAACGTTTTCGCGTGGCCGTACGAAACGGATACGACGGAAGACCATCCGGAGTCACGTAGAAACGAACACGCCGCGAGTTATTTTATTAGCCGACCCTATCGCCACGCATCTCGCCGCTGGAATCGATCATCGTTTTTTTTTTTCCTTCGTTAACAGTGTTATTATCCCAGCTACGCAATATTTTTTTTTTCTTATTTCGTTATTTAACAGGTATAAACCCAGTATACATACATAACAATTAATGAAAATTAGATTAGAAACAGTTACATCGATGTATTATACAGTATGGAATTAGTCGCGATAGGAAATTTTTAATAACATATTAACTAAGTCAGTATACATACATAACAATTAATGAAAATTAGATTAGAAACAGTTACATCGATGTATTATACAATATGGAATTAGTCGCGATAGGAAATTTTTAATAACATATTAACTAAGATTAAACAGTTTTTAGTGCTCTATGAAGGGATGCCTTAAAGTATTCAATAGAGCCACTGAAAACTGATTAAACAGTTCTTAGTGCTCTATGAAGGGATGCCTTAAAGTATTCAATAGAGCCACTGAAAACCTCAATCAGATCCGTGAATTTATTGGCTGATTTCAGGATTCGATAAATTGGATCACTTGAACCATATTTTAGTAAAATATATGATTTTTTCTGACACACCTTGAAGGAGCAGAAAAGTAAACTCTTTGTGTATTACAAAAGTAAATTCTTCTTATATTTACTTGTATATATTTTAAATATTTCCTTGTATCTAATTTTCTTATCTACCACTATCTTTTTGTGTACCAAAGGCTTTACCCCGTTGATAAAATTATTATTGTTATAATAATTCGCGTGGTGTTACGTTTTGCCTTAATTTTGATTTTTTTTTCTACCTTTTTCTATTATTATTCTTTTTATATTTACTTGTATATATATTAATTATTTCATTGTATCTAAGTTTGTTATCTACCACTATCCTTTTGTGTACCAAAGGTTTTACCCCGTTAATAACATTATTATTATTATCATTCGCGTGGTGTTGCGTTTTCGCCTAGTTGGGTGTCACGTGACATGCGACCATTCGAATGCAACCACATTGTCACGATCGGAACTTCCGGAACAGAATTTCGTTTGAAGAATAAAATCTGGTAATCGATCTTCTAAAAATTTTTCGTCAGTAATGTCAAAAGGAACCTGAAGAAGAACCGTTCAGGTCTATTCAAAACCAACGAACGAATTCGAAATATCGTGTTTCGCGCGAATCTGCTGGAGAATCGACGTGCAGGCGTGAAATGTGGAATTGATACTCCGACGAACGCGTCCGAGGAATAAATCCTCCGACCGAGTTGCGAACGTTACGAAAACTCGTTGAAAATTGTTCCAGTACGCCGTTGGTGGATTGTTTCGCAGATATTTCGTATTGAATAAAACCGCAGCGGTCAATTGTCGCGTCGCGGGAACAGATGGAACGGACGTGTCGCGAATCGTTACCGTGAAAATCGACGGTTTACCGTGCGAAATTTCACTACGTGTTTATTTCAATTCACCCGACGCGGTCCCCGTGGACGAGAGTGTTTCCGACCATTAACGGATTTTACGAAACGAATGGAAATAATCGAGGGAGATTCGAAAATCGGTAAACAGATCGTGATCCACGAAGAGCATTAATTGGAATTATTCAATAAATTACTCACGGTTTTTATAGATTAGGTACTAAGTAAATGGCGACGAAAGTAATCCTACAAGATTTACCGATTTAACAAACAAGTGGAGAATTTCTCGTTGATCGAAACACCGAAATGATTTCGCGAAGGCTTTAATCTCGATCGCAAGACGGATTGTATGTTTATGATCAAACGACGTATCTATGTGTGCACAGTATTTGGAACAACCACACGTTTCTCCGATTCGATTCAACATCTTTCCATCCCCATTGAAAAATGAACTTTAAAACACCACAATTGTTTGTTCGATCGCGAACGAGAAATACGTACGTGCTCTGCACTGAGTGATTGGCACGAACGGGAACGATGGATTTTCTTTTAAAACCGGTGTGTATGAAAGATTACGACGAACGATGACTTACCTCGATTCACGAATCTGTCGTGAGAACACGTCGAATTCGATCTTCCAGGTTTCCTCGACGAAGGAGAGTGCTGCTCTGCGAATCTGAATCCTTCGTTGCCGGTTTATATAAGCCCGCGACTTTGCGGCACCCGCTTCATCCCTATCCCCACCACGGTTGTATCTAAACATTCTCGTCCAATCAAACGGACTCGTGTGCTACCCCGTTCCGAGCTTTTCCTACCACCAACCCCCTCCGCTATCGTCCCGGCAACAACCAACGAGCGTGACGCGATACTCGGCCACGCTACGCTCCACCAGACCTGTAGCCGTCCCCTGTCTTCCAACGACGTCGTCGAATCACCACCTTGGTGAACCATCTTTGTTCTTCACGTCGATTCAACTGTCAGCAACTATCGGTCAGGTTTGTAGTTAAAAAATAGGAACGAACGGATCATCGAGGATTTTCGTTAGTTCGCTCGAGCACAGATGACATAAGAATACACTTAACATTTTTTTTTTTATTAACACGTTGACTGCCAGCTACGAGATAACTCGTAGTTGAAACATTATTTGAATACCTTTACACAATTTTGTCATAAGATTAATATTACAGTATAATTTGAAACAAGACAAGCAATCTCTATTAATCAAACGCATATGTTTTCAAAGATTTATGACTCGAATAATGAAATAAAGCGTGTCTGGCTACGTACTGCCTTTTCCACTGTGGAAGTCAACGTGTTTAGCACATCTTACGAGGCTTATTTCTGTTATACTAACAAACATTAGTATATGTTGTTACGTATTACATAAATTTAAACATTCTAGGTTTTGGTTGTTACTTTAAATTTTGAGATTACAACTTTTTAAACAGCTGTGAACGTATGGACAGACTGGTATGTTTGGTTCAGCGATTATCATGTTTATACTTAAGGGAGGATATAATTTAATTTTTTTTTAATTCTCTTATTAGTTTGTATCGTTGTGAGTTATATAATATGGTTGACATCGTGGATTGCGTTTCCACATTCACGTTTGGGATCATTAACACGTTGACTGCCACAGTGGAAAAGGCAGTACGTAGCCAGACACGCTTTATTTCGTTTTTTAAGTCGTAATCCTTTGAAAATATATGCGTTTGATTAATAAAGATTGCTTGTCTTGTTTCAAATTATACTGTGATATTAATCTTATGTCAAAATTTTGTAGAGGTATTTAAATAATCCAGCATGTTTGCAATGTTTCAACTACGAATCATCTCGTAGCTGGCAGTCAACTGTTAATAAAACCTATACAAGAAAGTGATGCGACTAAACTGTAATGGTCAGTTTTGTAACAGTTTATGGTGATGATAACTTCACGCGAAAGCCTTTTGTGGGCATACCATGGAACTGAATTATCACGGTGGAAATTCTGGAAATACCCGTTCCCTTTAGTAAGACCTTGTTATTTTACAGTACTAATAGTTTCCGAACGTGTTGATTTACGAAAATTTTCGTATAGGTCAGTATAGACCTAACATCTTATAGGACTTGGTGTCCCACGAAAATCACGCTGGTTAGAATGCACTTCTACATAAAAGTTTCCGATATCAGGAATTACATTCGACCCGTGATAACGCACAGCACACACACGTCCATATAGCGATACATACATACATTATTGCCTCGATTTCGCTAGAAAGGAATGGAATTCTAGAGTAATAAGTCCAAAGCATTGGACAGAAAATTACATTGCATGTTGGGTCTAAACTTATATCTCGTCCGTGGCTCGAGTAACGATTAATCGTTTTCTCGCATTCGGGACTTTACTGTCTCTCCTCTGGGGAACGACCTTTTCATCTGGCACTTGTGTCGTAGCTGTTTAACCTGGGGAGATCCTTTCGACGAATGTAAAGTACATATTCCACATCGACGAATATAAGCAATGTACGTTCTAAGACCGAAAATATTTGCGTCACGGTATATACATAGTCGAGTGTACAAACATGCTGGAATTTCCGTTGAAATATCGCACCGAGCAGAACGGCCAATGAACGATGGTGTAACAGAATCGTGCGAACTAGGGAATGAAGAGATCTCCGGAGAGTCTGAAAGGAAATGTGGTAGAACGTGGTGGATACATAGTGAGCCAGATATTTAAAGGGAACAGAAACTTGTCGGTTGTTAGTCACGTTTGATTCGTCGATAACTTCATCGTAGACACATACTTGCGTGGATGCGATTTAGCGAAGCCGTGTCCATTAAGCGTACAAACGTTCCTCGTGTTTGCGTTCTCGTGGGTAACGATTCAACAAGTTGCCTTTTCCCGAGGCACTCGCCAATAAGTATTCGCCCAGTCTTACGAACCACGAGTGCACGAAATGGTAACTAAATCTATGCCTTATAGAACGTGTACCATAAATGGGAGAACGAAAGTCTACTCAAATAGTAAAACGTCACAAGTACGTCCGGAACGTACGTTCTCCAGTACATTCGAAGGATGTCCCTAAAAGGTCCTCATGTCCCCGCTACGTCAGAGTTGGGTAAAATGTAATTTAATTACAAAACCCAAATCACAATTACAATGAAATTGTAAGATAATTACAATTATATTGTAATTAACTATACTAAATTTACAATCAAAATTATAACACAAATGGCACAAAAACGTCACAAGTACGTCCGGAATATACGTTCTCCGGTACATTCGAAGGATGTCTCCAAAAAGTCCTCATATCCCCGCTACGTCAGAGTTGGGTAAAATGTAATTTAATTACAAAACCCAAATCACAATTACAATGAAATTGTAAGACAATTATAATTATATTGTAATTAACTATACTAAATTTACAATCAAAATTATAACACAAATGGCACAAAAACGTCTCAAGTACGTCCGGAACGTACGTTCTCCAGTACATTCGAAGGATGTCCCTAAAAGGTCCTCATGTCCCTGCTACGTCAGAGTTGGGTAAAATGTAATTTAATTACAAAACCCAAATCACAATTACAATGAAATTGTAAGACAATTATAATTATATTGTAATTAACTATACTAAATTTACAATCAAAATTATAACACAAATGGCACAAAAACGTCACAAGTACGTCTGGAGAACGTATGTTCCACTATTAGGTACAGACTGGTGGTAGGGCGAAGGTGAATCGGTGTCGTTTAACGCCCCGTCAGTTTTCCTTGCGTTCAGCCGGTGAACCCTAAAACCGATTCGGTCAATTTGAAAAACATTTTCATGACAGGGGAGGGGGGAGAATCTTGTCAGCGTTAGGCTATTATTTTTCGATCGACACCGATTCGAGTGGACCACGAGGAGTCGTTCGACGTCGATCGTAATATAAATATAAGACCGCTACCCACGACAAATATTTACGATCCCCGTCGCGATTTTCTCGGGACTGAGAAAAGACGGTTGGTCCGATGTTAATTTCGATAAAAATCGTTGCGAAAACAGAGCG